TCACTCCAGGTATTTGATTTTCTTCACACAACTTGAAATGATGATGAATTGCAATACTCTGAAACCAATAAGAAACAAATTGTCATCTGCATCAGTACACAGCCCACATAGCGTAATAATGCTATTACAGCTTATGTAATTTAGGAACTGTCCATCCTCATTTATGATGTGGACACAGTCATTGTTATCATCACTTATAAGGATGTGACCCTGACTGTCTGTAGTAATTCCCGTAGGATTGAATGGTTTATTCTTTGGAGCAGGAGTATGTCCAGTATATCCGAATCTCAGATTCCCGGCCTGATTGACAACCACTACTGCTTTAGCTCCACAGTCAGCCACACAAATATCCAGGTTTCTGTTTTCACAAATGCGTTTATCAGAACCACCAGATGAGTAGAGAGGTGCACCTTCATCATCAAACTGTATGGATTGTTTTTCTGTGGAATCAGAGTATCGGACAACTTTTGATTGTTTGTTGTCCTCACTTTCCATGGTAATCAGCAGCTCACCAGAGAAGGTACTACAAACACCTCTAGGTCCCCAGTTCTGTAGTCTTATCACCTCCTCTATGCCCTCATTCTTCACAATGTTGACAGTTTTGTCCTTGTAATCAGTGTAAATAAGATATCCATTTCTTGACACTGCTATGTCTGCTGGCCCGTTTCCTGACTTTGTTGTGATTGTCTTTAGTGGTGAGCCCTTACAAATATTGCGGGATATTGAGTCCAGATTGAAATTGAACAATGATGAGTACTGATTAAGATTGTAAAGTGCCAAGGTACTGCTTCCTCCACATACCCAGATCTTTTCATTTCTTAAATGGGCAACATTTCGAGGGCGGCATGAATATGAAATATTTTTAACGACAATCATTGGTGTCTCAAGTAGCTTTTTTACTGGTAATCGGCTTCCAATATCTGGTGATATTTTCTCGACAAACGAAGACTCAACTTTTGGTGATTTTTGAGTTGTCTTTATACCGTATTCATGCTCCTCTGATTTAAGGAAAATTGATGAAAAATGCCCAAAGAGTTTACTCAGTTCTTCCCCTTTCGTTGTTCCTGGAGTGAAATTAGGTACAGACAGAATATGTATTTGTGGAAGACTTTCATACTGATTTAACCTGGATTTTACACTTAATGGTATTGAAATGTTCTTAGAGTTAGCTGCAATATCAAGTGAATCAATTACATCTTTAATGTCAACAATTTTCTTTTTAATTTCTTCCAGATATTTTTTTAAAGTTTGTAGCTGTGAGGCCTTCATTTCATCAATTTGGGTTTTAAGTTTTCTGACAAGTTTGTCAATTTTTCTGTGCCAGTCCTCTCCATGTTTTGTAATGGTTGTTGAGATCTCTCCATATTCCTTCTCTAACTGACACATTCTGTTTTGTACATCAGCTGCGATGTTTTGGTAGGTGGGATATATTGTTTCCTTCAATTCAGTTTGCTCTTTTCTGATCAAGTCTTTTTTTTCACCCAGAGCATGCAAGATTTTTGATAACTTATGACCGAGATGTTCATCAGATGCCAGGCAAGTGAGGCAGACAGGAATGTCACAGTGTTTACAGTACATCTCACATTGTTCTTTTTCATGGGAGGCACATACAGGGTAAAGGGGAATGGTTTTCCTACACTGAAATTTAGCCACTTGGTGATCATTGGATTCATCAGAGATATGTTCTCCCACACAGGACTTGCAAAGATTAATAAGGCATACATCGCAGTACATCTGTACTATAGCAGTATCACACAGGTCACATCGAATCACGTCCTGGGAAGTGGTACGGGGGTCCATAACTAGCTCTGGTGGCTCTTAAAATAGTAAAGTTTTATATTTATTTTTTAAAAACAATTTAAACTTGTACACAAGGCATCAAATAATAGATGCTTTTATAAAGGTTCATGTTTTGCACTACTTGCTATGAATTGTAAAAAAAAAAAGATTAGAATTTTTTATTCATATAAAGTTGAGAATATCTCTTTCCACATGGAAATTGGAGAGATTTAGTCGTTAAAAATGGGTTTCAAATGTTCAATGTACCAACTTGAATTTAAAATTTAATTGCTATTGGTAAGACTATGTTGTACTATTCAAATATATTTTTTGAGGATATGCCGATTTCTTTAGCAATATTTTAATTATGTTTTTTAAACAAATAATTACTAAAACCTTTATTGATTTTTCCATATTTAAAATCAAATTGTAACATGTGAATAACTCCCTAGAAATTGTTGTGTATGAACTAACTCTTGTTTTGCCATGCATTAGTCAAGTGAGGCAATATCTGCTTTGAAAGGATGTATTCACAATTTCAAAGGATTCTATCTATTGGAGAGATCAGTTTTCCGGGAAAACTTCATTTAAAAATCAATGTTCATTAGTTGTTTTCTACCGTATGTATGTCTAATTTTTCCAATTTGTATTTTGAACTTAAAATTTATTATTTACAACTTTAAAATTAAGCTCCAAAGTTAAACCACCGATTTTTGCATGAATTTTGGCCTAGAAATCATTCAGAGAAGACTTGAATCTAAAAAAAAAAAAAAAAAACATGATATTTTGATAGGTAGTGTTGTAAGGAATAATGCAAGATTTTTTTTAAGGTCATCCCCGCACTAAGATCGAAATTAAAAGAAAAACCTACAAAAATAAGAAAACCTGTTGTTTACAACCTGGTTCAGAATAGTTAGATTGGTATAACAACTGAGTATTAACACTGCAAATACATTTTTTTTTCAGAGTCGTAGTTCGAATTATGCACTTGGTGCCCCACTTTTATAGTTTTACATTATTGCCTTTTCAAACACTATATGTATTATGGGGGCTTATGTATTTTCCTTCAATTATTTATCTTTCAGGCAAATTCATTCTTGATATAAAAGATACTAAAGAGAAAGCAGATCGTAAATTCCATTGTAACTAAAACACAGTCAAGAGGGACTACACCTCAGTATAGCACACTTTCTTCGAGGACAAGAATTATTCACTCTGCAATGAGCTGCCATGCATTTTTTACGTTACTTTTATTCTGTCCGTACTACTAGTACTTGCCTGCGTTATTGCTCTGGAAAGTATATGTATTGCTTGTTTTATCCGAGCTTAATATATACAGATGAACCTCTGTATCTCGAACACTGATATCTCGAATATCATGGATATGTCGAAGTGATCTGTAAGTCCGAACCACTTATTCTTTAAGTTTTTTTTACCCATGAAATCTCGACTCCCCGGATATCTCTAATTTTTTCATCCGTCCAACCGAGTTCGAGATAACGAGGTTTTACCGTATTTACTAATACATACATGTACTGATTCATTTTTCTAAATTCAGATCTCAAGCTTCGCCTTGGGAAAAAGTCCTGGCCTAGGGGAACTAAAAATATGCTTACATCATCAATGATATACTTAACTGTATAATATGCATGTACATGTTTTACATAAACCATAAAGAATTAAAAGATTTGTCATAATGTGACATGTACATGTATTTGCAATGATGTGAACATGTATTGTAACCGAACCAGTGATTGCCCATGTTCCCATCAGCATAAACCACCCCCACTCTCCCAAAGGCCCTTGAACATTATTATTTTAAAGAGAATTAGTGGCAGGTTTTATTCATGTTCAGTCAGCGTTCACGAGTTTTACATGGAAACAGAAACTGCAAACAATTGTCATTGTGAACTAGATATATTCATTTAACTGAAAAGTGGAGATTTGAAATTTAAGAGAAAAGTCACATACATGTTTAAATGTCAAAACTGAAAGAAAGTAGTGTTGAAAGGAAGAATTTAGACTAGCACCCTTATATATTGATTAGAAAATGATGTTTCAATAAGACATCTCAGATTTTAGAACAGTTCGCAGAATAATTGCTTCTAGTTCTCAGTAAAAATATATTGTCCCATCCAGTAACTTTTTTTAAAGCCAAAAACCAAGAACTCTATTAACTCTATCCAGTAATTTTTTTAAATCAAGAATACAAGAACAGGTATGGTGAAACTGTATGAAAATATTACAATCTAAAAACTACCTGAATGTCCCACGTGCCGTCCTTGCTGACCAAAACCATGAAGTCTGTGTCTCTATGTTCTACTCATATGACACGGTCGTGTTATCTACCTGTCAGGTGCTTTACAAACTGACCTATCAAGAAAGATACAGGTAATATATATCGGAGCTCAGTAGTCAATTGTTTGCTATTACTATCTGTTAGTACATATGTACACATTTTTTCCTCTTAATCTTTGTGTCAAACTTTAAATCATGCAACCCACTGCATGATTTATGTGCATTAAATAAATCAAGGTACTTAAACTAATGAAGGTAGTGAAAAACATATTGAATATTGGTGCACTGTATTTGGAAGGTTGTTCCTAAGTTAACTAAATATGTAGAAACCTACAGCGATAATCTCATTATACAAGCTACTTCTTTTAAATTTGATGAAATCATTAAAATTATTTTTAAAAACTGTAAGTGGGTATCGCATATATGTAAAAGAAATTAATCAATTCTGGCATCAGAGCAAACAGGCAAGTTCTATTCTATGGTCGATACAATAACCTTGTCAGCAAATACAATCTATCATTAAGTCAAACGCTGACTGACGTTTTTTGTACTTATTGTTAGGCCAAACTGAAGTGCACACTACCAGAGTAGCTTTAAGTGCGGGATTTTGCCTACATTTTCCAGATGAGTTAACAGATTTAAATTTTTGGAGAAGGTCTATAACCAAGAAACTTTAAGACCAACCTGAACCAAACTTGCATGGATACACACTAACCGAGTTGCTGGATTTGACCTGCATTTAATGATCTTCCAGATGAGTGACAAGGTTAAAGTTTCTGAAGCAGGTCCATTACCAAGAACTATGAGGCCTGTCTGAACCAGACTTGCTTGGATGGTACAACAAGGGAAGAACACTCTCAAACTTGCCTCGGATGCTGGAATTGATTTACAGTTTTAGATGAGAGACTAGTTTAAAGATTTTAGATAAGTCCGTTTCCTGAAACTGTAAGCCCTATCAGACCAAATTTGCATAAATGTTGCATGTAGGGATGCACAATACTAGAATATTAGTTTAGTTGGGACTTTGCCTTACTTAGTAAGCATCGCATGCAGCACATTGAAGGTTGCATAAAGGAAGCGCCGCCTAATTCATGCGGGAAATGTATACTGTGACATCGCACAAAAATAGCAATTCCTCACAAAACCTGAAAATGAAATAATTTTCGATTTTAAACTGTATAAAAGTAATGAACTACATCAAAACATCATTGCATCATGTGTTGTCGGTAGTTAAATAAACATAAACTAGTCATTGATCGCACTTGTCTACATGACGTCATCATGGTAAAATTTGGCGCATTTTATGTGCAGTGAGAGGCGGTTCAAGTAATTTTTTCACGAGGAAAAATGCATTTCATTATTAAACAGGATGTAATTTACAGATGTAAGATAGGCCATAAATACCAATATGAAACATTTGTTTAGTGCGATTATTTATTAACTATCTGGAGTTTTCTGCGTGCAATTTGAGGCCTTGTATCATTTTCACCGATCCAAACTTTATTATTGAGCTTAGTTTCCGGTTCAAAAAAATATATCCATGTTTCATCACCAGTTACAATCTCATTTATTCGCCTTTCGTCACAATCTTCATAAATTGTTAGTAACTGTGAAGCCATTTCTACCCGGATGCGCTTTTGCTCTTCCGAGAGAAGATGTGGCACCCATCTAGCACAGACTTTCTTAGCTTTAAGTTTTCCTTTAAAATACGAAACATTGCTGACAAATTAATGTTAGTTAAGTCTGCTATTTCCTCAACTGTATATCTGGCATCATCAGCTATCGTATTTTGAACAGTGACGATTTCTTTTTCGCAATATGCACAAACTGGACGCCCCGAACGGGGGTCATCTTCAATTGATTTTCTACCCTCTTTAAATTGAACTACCCATCTTGCTATTGCTCGATATTAAAAAGCATGCTCTCTATATACTACATCTAAATCGGCTTTTATTTCTGTTGCCGTAAAGCCAAGCAATGAGCGATTTTTGCAATACGCTCTTTGCTCAACAAAAAAATTGTTCTCCTTATCAGTCATTTTTACGCCCAGTATACAGAGTATACCTAATTATGACGTCATTTTAGCAGACCTATACGTCATTTTGAATGTAAAATGACGTCACTACTAATGATATTTGCCTAAGCTTTACAGTGGTATCAGAGTCATTTTAATCCGTAACGTAGTTAAAATTTTATATACCAATTGCCAGAACTTTTGAAATGCCCCTCGTATGTAGAGACAGTTTATTACTTAAATATTTACTTGAACTAGGATATGCCCTTGCGATACTGAAATTGTTTATGATCTCCAAGCAGAACACATTTTATGCATTCATCACATGAATATCAAATAAGGCCAAATTCAATACAGAATGGAATATACAATGTTATTTCAGTTAAAATTAAAATCATGTGATAATATAATAGCTATAAAAAAATAAATTCAGTTTTAAAAGATATCTATTTGTGCACGTCTATATTCCATTGATTTCTTCATAGTTCGCCTTAACAGTGTTGCGATTCGTTGAGGTGAACTCTGTAATCTCTGATTACCTATCTTTTTGTAGATATTGCTATTTCATAAAAGTATTAATATGGTATATCTGCAACAGAAAATAATAAATTCCTCCTAGACTTTTCCCAGCATGTCCATCTCTGAGACAATCCAGTCTCATTGCAAATTTATAAAGTCTCTTGATCAGTAGACGGTTGACTAATTAATG